CTGGCACACAAGANATAGGATGCCATAGCATCTGTCGTGGGGCTACCGTCAGGGGGGATGGGTAAACATTGAAGTGGAGACCGAGGTGAAGCGGGTTGGTTATGAGGGCGGGTTTCAGGGTATCACGTTGGCCCTCCCCTGCGGCCCCCTAGCCTAATGCCGTCCTCCCCTGCGGCCCCGCCTAGCCTAACGCTGTCCTCCCCTGCGGCCTCCCAGCCCAACGCCGTCCTCCCCTGCGGCCCCCTAGCCTAACGCCGTCCTGACCTGCGGCCCCCCTAGCCTAACGCCGTCCTCCCCTGCGGCCCCGCCTAGCCTAACGCCGTCCTCCCCTGCGGCCTCCCAGCCCAACACCGTCCTCCCCTGCGGCCCCCTAGCCTAACGCCGTCCTCCCCTGCGGCCCCCCAGCCTAACGCCGTCCTCCCCTGCGGCCCCCTACCCCAACGCTGTCCTCCCCTGCGGCCCCCCTAGCCCAACGCCGTCCTCCCCTGCGGCCCCCTAGCCCAACGCCGTCCTCCCCTGCGGCCCCCAAGCCTAACGCCGTCGTCCCCTGCGGCCCCCTAGCCTAACGCCGTCCTCCCCTACGGCCCCCCTAGCCCAACGCCGTCCTCCCCATCGGCACCCCAGCCCAACGCTGTCCTCCCCTGCGGCCGCCCTAGCCCAACGCCGTCCTCCCCTGCGGCCCCCTAAACCCTAACGCCGTCCTCCCCTGCGGCCCCCCTAGCCCAACGCCGTCCTCCCCTGCGGCCCCCTAGCCTAACGCCGTCCTCCCCTGCGGCCCCCTAGCCCACCACTGTCCTCCCCTGCGGCCCCCTAGCCCAATGCTGTCCTCCCCTGCGCCCCCCTAGCCCAACGCCGTCCTCCCCTGCGGCCCCCTAGCCTAACGCCGTCCTCCCCTGCGGCCCCCCAGCCCAACGCCGTCCTCCCCTGCGGCCCCCTAGCCTAACGCCGTCCTCCCCTGCGGCTCCCCAAGCCTAACACCGTCCTCCCCTGCGGCCCCCTAGCCTAACGCCGTCCTCCCCTGCGGCCCCCCAGCCCAACACCGTCCTCCCCTGCGGCCCCCTAGCCTAACGCCGTCCTCCCCTGCGGCCCCCTAGCCGGACGCTGACCTGCCCTACGCGGACGCTGCGGGGGGCGGATGAGGGAAGGGCGGGGCTGCGCTGGGTGGCGCAGGGAGGGCGGCGTTGCGCTGGGCAACGCAGGGGGGGGGGCGGCGCTGCCGGGGGCGGATGAGGGAAGGGTGGCGCTGCGCTGGGTGGCGCAGGGAGGGCGGCGTTGCGCTGGGCAACGCAGGGGAGGGCCGGCGCTGCGGGGGGCGGATGAGGGAAGGGCGGCGCTGCGCTGGGCGGCGCAGGGGAGGGCAGCGTTGCGCTGGGCAACGCAGGGGAGGGCGGGCGCTGCGGGGGGCGGATGAGGGAAGGGCGGGGCTGCGCTGGCGGTGCAGGCGAGGGCAGAAGGGAGGGCAGATGGGAGGGGAAGGGAGTCCTCGATGTGTTGGAGTACAGCACATAGACAATGTCAAAAGCCATCACCAATGACAATAACTCAACCCAAAAGGCCCCTGTCATATTTAAAATTTAGCCGGTGGCTCCCCCCTGGTTTCACTTGACATTCACAGACAAGACATTTTCAGTTCCACACCTAAACGGCTATCTGCAGTCACACACAACCTGCAGAGGCTGCCGGTTTGCCAGGCTTTGCCGGTGATGCAAACGCGCGATTTTAAGGAATGATGATGGGCCGTTACAAATAAGCCTTTGCTGCAATAGCTTTTTTGCTTACATAGCGCACATGAAATGTTTCACAGGCCATCGAGAAGCCTAAACAAGTCTATCCTTCTGGTGTACGACCGAGCGTTAAAGTGTTTCCTGGATAAGCCTTATGGCCTCGCAAAGTATTGCGCACATCCACGGTTAATGCCAGCTCGCAAAGCAGCATATATAGGGGTGCTTTGCGCCCTGGTATGCACGCTATTAACCCACACACCCTGCACCCTCGTGACGTGCACCCTGCACGGATCTGCATTCAACTACCGCTTGGAGTGATGCCCCAACCGCACAATCAGCACCTCCAAGCAGCAACACACAAAGTTCAAGCAAGGGCCAAGGCACTGCAAAATAAGGGGTGGTGGTCGACTGCGTTGTATCCTCTGTAGATGCTGTGCATGTACATGAGCATTATTGCTTGTGTGACCCATGGGCTTCTCTCCATGCGGGCGCGGACGCGTGTATGTATGTATGTATGTATGTATGCCG